TCATTCCTTCTCCGTTCTCTAGCACAATTTCCCTCATCTCTTCCATGCCCACTGGGTTTCTCCCATGCGGTATTCAAAGTTTCTCTTATTCCATGTCCCTACCTCAACCTTGCTTCTGATTTGAACCCTCTCTCCCTTTTTAGGATTTCTCTGTCGCTTTTGCATTTCTGCCCCTCTTCATTATCCTCTTCTGGTTCTCAAGCCCAGGGTTGTTCCCAGAGGTTCCCAGAGAGGCCAAGACAAGGCACAAAGGGAGAGATAGAAAAGAGGAGCCAAGTATACTGGGGAAGAAAGAGCTTCGCAGGGAGGAGAGGAGGTGAGAGAGGAAGGCAGAGGAGAGAGGCACTGGCCCGAGGATGAGGGGCGGATGGGAAGGACTCAAGGCTGGAGTGCCCAGGGTTTACCCAGACAGCAGAGGCGGGCAAAGGGAAACAGCATGGGCCAAGGCTTTCCTCACAATTCTAGATCTTCCAGAAGGTTTCTGTCATGGCTTTTGAAATGCTACAGAGACCGACGGACAGCTTTGAAGGGTTCCATGGAGGAATCTATGGAATGTTGGTGTTGGGATTGCAGAAGAAAGAGAGCCAGTGATTGCTCAGGGCCATAAGGAAGTAGAGGAGGAGCTGGAGAGCAGCACGGGACGGTGATAGAAGGCGGTTGAAGGAGGGGTGGGGGAACCTGTGAAGGGTGTGGCAGCTGAAAGGAAGGGAGAGGATCCAGGGAAAGCTGGATGAGAAGGGAGGAGGCCACCTGTCCTGGCCGAGCCCCACCTCCGGTTGGGGGGAGGACTGAGAAGATCGACTCCTTTTAGGACTCTGTGCCTAGCTGGAGGACAGGGAAGGCTTCCTCGTGCCCGTAGGTTCCCTAGGCCCCTCCTGTGACAGCACCCTTCTTTCTGCACTTGGTTTCCACTTGTCCTTCTTGGAGTCCTACTGAGTTTTCCCCTGCCTTTGCTCCCTCCTCTTCACTGTTTCCCCCATTTACCCTCCAACCTCAACCCTTCCTGTTACATAATGTCCCTGTTCACCTGCCAGACACCACTGACACTTCTGCACCTGATATTGCTCTGGGGCTTGGAAAGATCAGTACACTTGTGTCCTAAAAATGGACTCGCGAGATGATACTCTCCTGGTCTTTGACCATCCTCTCCACTTCCAATTCCAGTTTCAGTCTTTGAAACCTTCAATTCTGGGACCCTTGGAAGCCATGAAAGGAGGATTTAATCCCAGCTCACTTCCTAACCAGTAGCTTCCAGAGTTTCTGGATTTATTACCTCAGCTTATAATGGGGTCCAGCATGTGTTTGGATTTTGGGCATGACTACGTCAACTTGGATTTCAGAGTGGGCTTAAAGGTTGCAGGGACATGTTTTGGGATTCTAGATCAAGATGGAACCGGGGATCTGGTCCTATGGAGGTCTCACCCTCTGGGTTGTGGAGGTTCTCTTAGAAAGATGTGGTGCTGGCTGGGAGTACCTGGACTCAGGCTCTTCTGGATTGTACAGGCTACTTTATCATTTCATACTTCTAGATCTTCCAGAATGTTTCTGTCATGGCTTCTGATATGGCTGGGACATAGGCAGACAGAGAGTCTGTACATATAGTTTTAACCCTGGAGAGATCACTGTGTGGGTGGTTTTTACACAAAGTAATTATGTTGTTTTAGTCTGGGTTAGACCACTGTTAATGTTTTTTTGTTTTTTTTTTTTTTCTAGAATACAGATGTGTGTTGACTGTACGGAAGGTTCTTGATCAATTAGAATGTTTTCCTGGATCAGTGAATTTCTGGGTCTAGGAGGCACTGAGGGGATTATGTTGGGTGTGGGCAGAAAGGAGCCAACCCTGGGCCTGTGGCGTCATGTGTCTGGCCAGAAACCCTCTTGTCTTGGACTCCAGGGTGTAGTACTCCCCAAAATATTAAGCACAATTCAGCTCACTGGGGATTTCCTAGGGAGGTGGAGAACAATTGTTCTCTACCATCCTTGGGCCACATTTAGGTCCTGAATACTTTCTGGAAGCTGTCTGGCTTCTGGATGTGGGGCTGTGTGCTGTCTGCTAGAAGCCCTTGCCTTCTCTGGGTGAACCTGGGGCAGGGAGGAGGACAGCGTGCTGGGACCCGCACAGGCCCCGCCTCCACCACCCGGGTCTCCTCCTAGGCCAGCCCTCTGTGCCCGTGGGCGAACTGAGGTGCAAAGGAGAGAAACATCTCCCCAGGGTAATTACTGCCGCCCCAGCCCAATAAACCATTCATCCGTAACCTCTTCTGCCCAAGAAGTGTCTCTCCACCCGTTCCCCCACAGTATAATAAACGCCCTTAGGCTTTAACAGGCCCGCCCAGCGTAATAAACTGGCTGCAGTGTGCGAACAGCTGGGCAATCAATCCTGGGGGAGCCTGAGGCTGGCGGTGAGAGTCCTGCAAGCTGTGGGCTTGGGTGCGTAGCCCCTGCCCTTGCGTCGGCCGCCCCGGGTCCGTGCGCTTACCGCCACGTTTCGGGCCCCATCGTGGCTCCGGTTGGGGGTCTGCCTCTCCACGCTGGGGCTTTGTGTGCCTCGGAGTGCGTCTCCGACCGCGTGTGGGTGTGGGGTCTGGTGCACGTCACTGTAGATGTGTCTGCCTGGGCGGTGGGCAAGCGCCTCTGATCCCGCCTCCTCACTGCCCAACCCGGCGCCAGGGCGCTCCTGGATATTCTGGATGCGCCAGGCTCTGTCCGTGGTGCTGCGCTGTTTGGGATCCAGTGGGAAATCGGAGAGGAAGGGCCTCCTTTACTCTAGACCTGGGGGCCTTGGAGGCAGACTCCAGGTAGATGGGGTTTCCTTCCCAGGTGTGAGTGGACCAAGAACCCAATAAAACCGTCCTCTCCCTGGGACCCCCTAGAGCCCAGGGTGAAGAGGCCACAGCCTATGTTTAGGAAGTGTATGGATGAGGGTCAGTGTCTCAGCTTCCCCGGCCTCCCCACCCCCAAAATTCGAAGTGCAGCTTGTGAGTGGAAAGGGGAGGAAGGACCCTGGGTATTACGGTTGCCATGGAAACAGCAGATTTTCAGGAGTGCTGCAGTGTTGGGAGTGGAGAGACTGTACAGGCTGAGGCCTAGCCAGCTCTGGCCTCCACACCCTGCCCTTCCCAGACAGGTGACCTGCATGAGTGGGAATGGGGCTTACTGTGTACCCCAACCCTGCCCAGCTCCCTGACATAAACTCAGGACCCATCCCAAACATTCAGCCTTCACCACTGTGCCTCCAGTGCCCTCAGGTAAAAAGGCCACCTGGGTCTCGAGGGGCAGAGCTGAGCTCCCGGTCTGTGGCGGGGGTCTGTCCTGCCCACAAACTGGGGTGGAAGGTCAGTGATTAGACATCAGGCAGTTCTTTCCTGCCTACCCTGACCCTGGAGTTACCTCTCACTCTGGCTCTGTCTGGCAGGTGACCTGGGGAACATCAGAGGCACTCATGGTTCCTGCTTCTCTTACCTCAACTCCCGGCAGGTTTCTACCGCTTTGGGACCCAGGCAGTAGCCTTCCCCTCTCTCCCACTGTGGACAGTGCTCCCCTCAAGGCACTCAGGAGTGTCCCCTGCAGTGGAGCCTCCTGGATAGAGACCCCTTCTGACTGCCAGGCTACAAGGGGATCCTGAGCACCTGAGGGGAGAGACCCCCAGGTGCTGAAGGAGACCCAGCCTCTTGTCACCAGCAGGTGACATCTTGGGAGCAAGCTTGCACCTTGGGAGTGCCTTAGGCCCTTCTGGAGGTCCTGACCTAGGACCTGAGCCTCCATTCACAAGGCCATCTCTTCCCCTCAGTCTTCCCAGCTTTTGCCCTCAGGCTCCATCTGACTTTCTCTTTCTCTCTGGCTGCCTTTCCTTCAACCCTTCATCCCAAGAAGTACTTTGAGAGGAGTCATTAGTGGCTAATTATTTAATTAAGCATTTTATGAATCTCATCTGCTCCATTTATGTCCAAAAGAATGCAAGCTTGTTCTCTGCCCTCCCTTTTCAGCAGGCCCCAGAACACTAGTCCCCCAGGCTCCCAGACAAGGCTCCCTTCCCGGAAACTGGGTGACCAGCCTCCCACCCCCACCCCACCCCCAGGGAATACAGTCAGCCACAGGAGGGAACATGGCGACTAATGGGGTTTATTTTGGGGCTGAGATCGTTAGGGACCTCACACCCGCCCCCAGCAGCCGGATGGTGAAGAGGAGAAGAAGGGGAGAGAGGGTGGGGTGGGGGAGGGTGGGGAGAAAGAGCCCACATCTCTGGCTCCCACTCTCCTGCTTCTCTCACCTACATCCCTCTCTGTCCCTCTCTGTCCATCTGTCTCTCTGCCTCCTTCCTCCTCTGGCTGGCACACCCCCTCTATGTCTGTCTCTTCCTTTCTGGGCAGGGCTCCAGGACTCCCTGCTTAGGGCCCCAGGCACCCCTGCCTGAGGGGGAAGCAGGGAGTCCTGAATAATCCTGGAGCACTCCCAGGGGGCTGAAGGGGACTGGGGGGGGCAGATCCTGGCAGGGGGCCAGAACTGGCCAGTGAGTCAGAGCTGCCCACAGCCCTGCTCATCTTCCTGCTATTGCCTGGGGCACCTTCTTGTCTGGGTGCTGATCAGCTCTGGCCCCAAAGAAGCACACAGCTTGCATCTGTCACCTCTGTCAGCCTTGGAAGAAGTTGAGCTGGTCAGAACCAGGTCCCAAGGTCATTCCTGCCCAGGGCCCTCTTGTCATCTTGGTCTCTTGTGCTTCTTTCTGGGCTCCGTCTCTGTGTCACTCTCTGTATTACCTCTCTGTTTTGCTGTAATTAAAGCTAGAATTCTTGATGAGGCAGCTACATCTGTCTGTGTGCGTGCAGCCTCTCACCCAGGCACCCGCCTGCCAACTGTTCCCTAGGGCTGCAGGGCTGGTGGCTGCTGCAGGCATCACAGGCCAAACCCGTGGTCCCATGCTCTGGCCACAACCACAAGGACCTACTGAGCTTACCCTGCTGATATCATTTCTCCTTCTCTCCCTTTCCTTTTCTCTGCAGCTGGGACTACGTACATCTTTGGGAAGGGGGGAGCACTCATCACCTACACGTGGCCCCCCAATGACCGGCCCAGCACGAGGATGGACCGCCTGGCCGTGGGCTTCAGCACCCACCAGCGGAGTGCTGTGCTGGTGAGGGTGGACAGCGCCTCAGGCCTCGGAGACTACTTGCAGCTGCACATTGTAAGGATTCTCCCTGCCAGTTCTGCGGTGCCCCTTCCCCTGCTTTCAATCTGCTCAAACCTTTTCCTTGCTGCCTGGTCCCTGGAGCTTCTGCTTTTGAGACCCAGTCCCCCTCTTAGTCTTTCATGGAGAGCCACCCTCCCATTAGGTTTGTAAGGTCCCTGCATGCTGAGACCATCTGTGTTGTATCTTCCCACACTGTCCAGTCTCCTAGGGGTTTTCAGGCCTTTCCACAGCCATTGGGCCATTGCCTGCTCACTCCTAGACCACCTAGGACTGCCCACTGCGTCTTACGACTGTTCCTGCTCCTCCTGACCTCTTTGCCTCACAGCTGCCTACGCTTGCTGCTTCATTTTGCCTTCAAACACTGCCTCTGCTCTGCTCCACCTTTGACCTCTGTTTCTGTGACCTTGCCCTCCCAGAAGCTCCCTTACTGGGCCTCCCCTCTGGCCAAGCCCCACATCCCTACCCTGACCTCCAGTCCCACTCAACTCTGCCTTTCTCTGTCCTCCCATCCCCGTTTCCTTGTCTTGTCCCATTCCTTTGCCTCTGTTCCTTCCCAGTGCCTATTTGAACTCTCACCACATCCAGACCTCCTTTACCTCAGTTTCTCATCCTGTTTAATCATCAGCTGGCACCATTTCTTTCCTGCCCCTTGTCCTGTCTCTCATCCTCTGCAGACACTTCCCTGGGATGTCTAGTCTTGCATCATTTTCTTTCTGGTGTTAACCTCTCCCTTTCCCCGCTCCCTCCACAGTCCAAAGTCCTGGGTCTCTGATCTCAGTCTCCAACTCTGCATTCTAGCCCAGTGATGGTGAACCTATGGCACGCATGCCACAGCAGACTGTTTCTGTCACTGAAAGCTCTGAAAGGTTTGCCATCACTGTCCTAGCCCCTTTTTGCTATTCCATTCCCCTGTCTTCATCCCATGTCCTAACCCTGGCCAGACCCCTTGAGCTGTGGGGCAGAGCGGGACTGTTCAGACTGAGCCAGAAAGGTCTGGATGGGGCACTGTGGGGTTTTAAGGAGGTCAGAGTTCAGAGGGCAGAGAGGAAGCCAGAGAGGAGGGCTTGTTTGGGCTGTGGACCCTCCTCATCTTTTTGAGGATGAGGCTCCTGGCCCTGTGTCAGGGCAGTGCTTCAGATCCCTCCCCCAGCACTAGGGTGGGAAGCAATGGGGTGTTCTGTAACAGCCTGGGATGGGGTGCCAGCAGCACTTAACAAAACAGTTGACAAGGGTGGGACCAGGTAGGGAGGGGCCCCAGAGGGAAGAATAGTGCCTGGGAAATTGGTCAGGCCTGGGGAAGAGGCCCCAGAAGCTCTGTGCCTGTGAGCCAACAAGACAAACAGGGTCTCTAAGCGTGATTGGAACCTGTTGTGAGAGGCACGTGGCTGTGGATGACAGTGTGGCACTGGATGCATGATGACTGTGTCAGGAGAGACAGCTGTGACTGTTGGTGATGAAGAGAGAGATGGTCCAGTGGTGTCTCAGCACATAGCAGTGCACATATGTTTCCTGAGAAATGGTCTTTTCTGTGGTTTCAGTCTTCTGTCTGTGTGACAGGATGCAGCTATGTTTCCCTGTGTCCTTCTCCATAATTGAGGGCTGCTGGCCCTCTCTTCATTGTCACGTAAGACTGTGCATGGCTTTAGAGCAGATGGTCTGGCTTTGGATCTCAGCTCTGCATCTTTCTTGCTGTCTCTGTGCAAGTTGACACAGTTTTCCAAGCCTCAGTTTCCCCAGATGTGCAGCAAACCAAGGGCAGAGGGATTCTAGGCTGCTTAAATGAAAATCACTCATGTAAAGTGCTCAACACATTGCCCTGTCTTCATGAGGCCCTCAGTGTCCTGGTCATCAGTGTCAGCTACTTGGACCGCATCTGTGTGCGCTGTGTCTTTGAGCCTGTGGGCTTGGGGCTCAGGTGCTCGGAGAAGCCTCACCTGGTTCAAGGCTGTTAAGAAGCAAGGCCTGGTGCCTGGGTGTAGCAGAGGGCAGGGAGAGGGGGAGGCCTAGGGTGGGGAGCCTGGCAAGGGAGGGGCTACAGAAGAGGCCAGAGATGGGCACCAGATGGGCTGAAACCCCCTGGGGGCATCCTCCAAACCCCCTCCTCCTCTAGTGACACATCGGCTCCCACTACAGCACGGTTAGCAGCTCTCAAAGACTGGGGAGGCGGCAGCAAAATAAGAGAAAAGCAATTTGACGTTTCTAATAAAGCGTCGCTCTACTTTGCCAAATTAATTTTGACTCCCATAATTATTTGCTGTAGGAGCGGCCGTGTTCTCCCCACCGCCGCCTAATGAGGTAATTGGGGAATTAGGAATTAATGACTTTAACAGAAGTGACAACTGACTTCACATCAGGAGCAGCTCTGGGGAGCTGTCTCTCCCCCAGAGCTCACAGCTCTGAGCTTGGCTGCTTCCTAGGAAACCCAGGTGTCCTGCCTTACAGCCCCCCTGGCCGGCCCTCTGCCAGCCTGGCTCTCAGACTGCATGTGCCCTTGACCACCAGCCCTGCCTGGGTGGAGCCTCTTGGGGAGAAAGGCCTAATGGCATCCAAAGGGCTGCTGCTATTCTGGGTGATATTATTACTAACAATAGTAACATGGAGGCTCGACTGTTCCTTTCCCATGTGTGGGGAGCAGATGATGAGCCCGTCTCCCTGGGGATGTTGTCAGTCTGTGGGTGGAAGATGGGTGGGGCTTGCTAATACTCTTTGCTAGACAAGCCTGGCCTCAGTTTCCCTGCTTTCTTGCATATCTTAGTCCACTTTAGTCACTTTTTGTCACTGGGACGAAATACCCAATATCTCCAGTTTAAAGGAGGAGAGGTTTATTCAGTCCAGCGTCACCTGCCTCCAAGGAAGAAATAGGATAGCAGAGGTGCAGGGCAGAGAAAAAGGTGCTCAACCCATATCAACCAGGAAGCAGAGATCCAAAGGAGAAGCAGGGGATGAGAATATGCTCTTCCGGTTCCTGCCCCCAGTGACCCACCTCTCCAACCAGGCCCCGCCTCCTAATAACACTTTTGGCCTAGGAATTCATCAGTGGAAGAATCTACTGATAAGCGTAGCACCCCCATGATCTAGTCACCTTCCAAACATGTGAGTCTTTGGTGGAACGTTTTAGACCTAAGCTATTGCACTGTTTCTGAGGAGGGTCGCTGAATGGGTGTATAACTGTATGTATGTGACCTTCTCAGGTTCTAGAGCTGGACCTCACAGGAGGGGATGGGGTAGGGCATGGGTCTCCAAGGGAACCACAGCTCTACACCCTGCCCTTCCTCTCTCTCTCTGTCTGCCAAACCCCAATTGCTGCCCCATCTGTGAGGCATTCGTGCTCCACCCCATCCCTGGCGCCACCAGACCTGCCTCGAAGCGCTGTTAGATGTTGCTGCTGACAGTGGAATGGTTTCTCTTATCCAGGCCAGATTGGGAGTCTTTTTGTGATCCGGGTGGCTTGAGGGAGCCTTGTGTCTGTTCTGTGTGTGTGGAGGGCTGGGCCGACTCAGGATGCATCGCGAATGGATGTGCAAAGGAATGCAGTGGGGGCTTAGGCTCAGGTCCATGTGCCTTCCCCAGGCTTGGTCAGGCACCTTTGAAGGTAGGATGGCCTCAGCAGCCTCTCAGGTCGTTCGCACTCCCAGTTCTTTGAGTTGGTGTCTCCCTAGAGTGTGAGCAAGGGTGCAAGGGCACTGGGCTTTGGAGTCTGGGCTGCTGGGGTTCCCTTCTTGTGAGCTGTGAGATTTGGGGATGTAATGTCATTTCCCTCCCTGTACCTCAGTTTTTTCCTCGATGAAACAGGGTGCTGTGAGCTTTTCAGAGGGTTGCTGTGGGAATGACCAGTGCACACGCATGAATGCTTAGCACTTTTTGGGTCTTGGGGAAGCTCTTCTGCTCACTCCAGCATCATGGGTTGAACCCTATTCTAGGCTAGAGCCCAAGCAGCCTCTGCAGGGGCTGCAACCCCAAGTTCGTTCATGCTCTTTGCTTGATGTCTGCTAATCTCAATCCTTGCCTGTCCTCCGCCTGTCCCTTCCCAGCCTCACCCTTCTTTATTTTCCTTTCTATGTTCACTCCTCTCTTCCCATGCCCGACAGCCCGAGTCCAGACCCCCCAGTGGGATCCCATAACTGTGGAGGGGTTACCCCTACACTCAGAGCTGAGCCACACTGGGCCTTAGAGGCACCAGGAGGGCAGCTGCATGCCCTGGTGTGGGGATGAGGGTACTCCGCTAAACATTCAGGGCAGGGGGCGTTGGAGGCTATCACAGGCTGTCGTGAGGGTCAGTGTGTTCTCCAAGGCTTTTGTGGGCTTCTCTGTTGGCTCATCCATTAGGGTGGCCTCCACCCTCTGAGACCCATGTTGTCCTGCCATTCCTGTAGCCCTTGTCTAATGCAGGGGCTCTGTAAACATTTGTGAATATTCTGGATGAACTAAAAAGCAAAAGATGGAGTTGATTACTGAAAGGGACCCTGGATCCTGACTCTGTAACTCCCCCCCGTGTCTTCCCCCAACCTCTGAGCCTCAGGTTATTCCTTTGCCTGCACATGGGGAGCCCCCTGCCCACTGCCTTGGGTCCTTGAGACCTGGGGTGCCTTATAAAGCTGTGAAATGCTATGGAACCAGGCCAGTGATGGCCGCAGATAGAGTTCTAGGAGTGAATTGTTGCCCCCTCCCAGTTGCTGACCTCTCCTTCCCTGTCTCCAGGACCAGGGCACCGTGGGGGTGATTTTTAATGTGGGCACGGACGACATTACTATTGATGAGCCCAACGCCATTGTGAGCGACGGCAAATACCATGTGGTGCGCTTCACTCGGAGCGGTGGCAACGCCACTCTGCAGGTGGACAGCTGGCCAGTCAACGAGCGGTACCCCGCAGGTAGGAGGCACAGGCCCATGGACCAGGCTTAGCGGCTGGGTGGGTGGCTTCCGATAGGAGCAAGACCTGCTTGGGGCTGGGCTAAGCAGAGACTTCTGGCCGTGGGGCAGGGCTGTGGAAAGGAGGTGGAGGTGACCGGGGTCAGGGGCATGGCTAATGGAAAAGTTGGGATTTGGGGGACAGGGTGAGATCAGGGTGGTGGTGGGAGTACATCATCTGCTGGGTATGGCATGAGGTAAAGGTCCAATTTGGGGTTTGGAGGAGAAGAGAGGGTGGAGGAAAGTCCTGTGTGATGGAGGAAAGGATGAGTTCAGAAAAGAGAGACTGTCAGAAACGGGGAGGCTGATACTGAAACCTAAGACAGAAGGTCCAGAAGTAACATAAAGCACATCTTGGCAGGAGGCAAGGCTGTTCCCCAAAACAGAACCAAGGTCTTTAAAAAGAGCAAGTCAGGGACCCTAGTAGGGGATGTATATGCAGGAAGACAAGTAGCCATGGAGACTTGGAGAAAAGGAACCCACTGTTTCAGGAAATGAGGGACTTGATGGAAAGGAAGAAGAGACAAATGACAAAAAGAGTGAAAAAAGAGGGCCAAGTGCATTCAACATCTTTCCTTGACAACCTACTATATTATCGGGGCTGTGCTAGGCCTTGTGGACACAGAGGGGAGCAGGACCCAGAGGAGTCCAACAGGAGTCCGTGGGAGTCCAACAGGGTGACAGCTGTGGTGGTCAGTGACAAACCAAGGATGAAGATGTGAAAGAAAGGAGTAGGCAGAGATCTTGTAAGTTACAGAGGAAGCCTCAGAGTAAGCGGAAACCAGAGAAGGAGCAATGGAGAGATGTGGAACCAGTCAGCGAGGCATGCAGAGATGGAGGCAGCTCCAGGGGAGAGGAAGAGAGAGAGAGATGGAGATACTGACACCCAGAGCCAGCCAGGGAGCAAAGGTGGATGGAGCCCAGCGAGGGGTGGAGTGAGGGTGGGGGAGCCCAGTGGGGAAACAAAGAGGGAGGAAATAGAAATGCCCCAGGGAGAACTGCAGGGACACAGAGATGCTGAGACACAGGCTGGACAGCACTGCAGTAACACACAGGACCCAAGTGAGGAGCTGGGGGAGCAGCTGCCCTGTGCTGACCTAGCGGGGCATGGATAGCATGCACACCCTTAAGGTTTACCCACGCTGAACAGAGGCCTGTGCAGGACCAGGGCTCCCAGTCCTACAGGATTGCACCCAGACATTTGGGGCCACTCCCGAGAGAATGAGGCTCACATAAGTCCTCTAAGGAAAAGAGCTCGATGTGCACACAGCAACCCCAGACACAGAGAACTTCAGACAGACACAGGAGAAGACAGCTTGGCCGAGGGGTGCCAGCCTAGGTCTTGGGCATATGTGGGGTCACTCAGACTCACCAATCCTCCTACACAAAGTCCCTCGACTTCTCTGCTCCAAACAGACCCTGACAGCCAGGGCTGGGTGGGGATGATCTCTGGGACATCAGACTTCACTCCCTTTCAGACATACACATAACAGGGAAGACTTTGTAGTGACAACATTGGTCCGTGCTGGACAGGGCCAGACTCAGGGCCTCACTGTGTCAATCCAGAATTTCATCCAGACCTTCAACCTTTGAAGCCCAGAAGGCCAGAGGGATCTGGAAGAATTATGCTTGCTTTCGTCTGCTCAGGGACCACTGGCTAGGGCTGGGGAAAGGCTGCCTGGTGCTGTCTGGGTGACCTGGTGGCTGCCTGTGTTAACAGTCAGGGCAGATCCTGATCAACATCAGCAGGCCAGGTCAGCAGTGTGTGAGGGCCCAGAGAGTGGGCCTCCTGCCCTCTAAATTTTAGGGAGCACAGAGACACAACACAGCCTGTGGATCCCCAGGGAGCAGGGCCTGGGTTTTAATCCTGGGTCACACAAGCTGAGTGACCTGGGACAAATCACGTGCCCTCTGAAACTCACTTTCCACTTCTGAACTGTGGAGATGATACCTACCTCATAGCCATGCTGTGAGAATTCCAAAAATCTAAGGCAAGTGCTAGAAGGACATAGAGGAGATTCTCAATAAACAGCGCTTTTGTTATAATTTTTATATAGTCAGCCTCCCTCCAGTGAGACATATGTCCCTTCTTCCTGTTAGGAAACACACACACACACACACACACACACACACACACACACACATCCTCCTTCTTGGGGCTGACATTGGGGAGTGGAGAGGGAAAAGATGGGTATCCAGGTAGAGAAAAGAGGTGGGCTTGGAAATGAAAGAAGCTGGAGGAGAAAGGCTGAGGGACTGGCAGGACATGTGTACGAGGGTCAGGAGCGGAGGCCAGGTCCTCAGGACAGAACAGAGCGGGAACTAGGCTCTCGGGAAAGAAGGGCTGGCACCTCGAAGTGAGGCTGAGATGAGGAAGAGGATGAAGAGAAGGCCTGGCGGAGCTGGGCGGAGGACTAGGGATGTCTGCAGAGGGCGAGCTGGGAGGGCCTTGGACAGAAGGGTGAGCTGGGCGAGGCACCAGCGGCAAGGCCACCAGGGTGAGGATGCTGAAGCTCCATACTGGAAGAGCAGTGGCAGGGTTGGGTCTGAGTGAAACCAGGGCAGAGGTGGCAGTAGGGTTAGGGTGCGCGATGACTGGGAAGTGAGGGGCAGCTGGGACTTGAGCACAGAAGAGAAAGGGAGTTGCAATGCCTTGAAAAGCGGTTTAAATCTCACTGTTAAATGCGTATGCTGGGTGAGCCCCTTAAATGCCGCATAAACCCCGCTTAACCCATCCCTCCCACTTCTAAACCGCCCTCTAAATGCAGTAACCAGCTGGGCCACCGGAACCACGGATGCTTCCCACCCCAAGTTAAACCTGCTAAATGCCCCACCCCCACCCCGCTGCCCCACTCTGGGATGGCGAAGGAAGAGGGGTTTCAACTTACTGACCAGATAAACCTATTTAACTTCTGGCCTTCCAGCTGCCTTTTCTTTAAGTCCCCTTTGTTTTCTTCTTTTTCACTCTTTTTCTTTGGTTTGCTTCCACCCCCAGGGTGGGGCTGGCTCTGGATGGGAGCCTAGGGAGGGGGTCTGGGGACCCAGCATTTCTTTTCCTGCTTCACCCCTCTTCCTGTTGGATGTTGCTGCTTACTCTGGGTCTCCTGAAAATGCATAATTACTTTTCTAACTCCTTTGGACTTCACCGCCTGAGAAACCTACTGTCTTTCTAAACTTTTCCAAGGAAACTTTGATAACGAGCGCCTGGCGATTGCTAGACAGAGAATCCCCTACCGGCTTGGTCGAGTAGTAGATGAGTGGCTGCTCGACAAAGGTAATTAACCAGAATTAATTAATTAACTAACTAACTTTAAAAATACTATCTTAAAGGTGCAGAGCTCTCTCTTCCCCTCTCCGTGCCTTCGCCGTGCCCAGCTCCAAGCGAGGGGGCGATTGTCTGGCCACGATGCCCCCTTCCCTTTCATAGTCAGGGTCCCTGTATTTCAGGGATGTGGTTTTGGGGCAGAAGTAGGATTTTTCTAGAGGATAGAGAGGTCTCGTTATTTTCTAAATCTGGGATCTGAGTAGGGTAGCCCCTAAGACCCTCAAGGGTGGAAGCTCCCTGGTTTGGGTCTGTGCTGAGCAGGTAGATTGCAGATGGGTTGGAAATGCAGGCAGGGAGCTGAGTCCCACTGCCCTAGTCCACCACAGGGTCCTGGGAGGCAGGAAGGCTTTGGAGAGCAAGAAAAGCTGATCCAGAAATCCCAGGGAGGGCTAGGAAGGCTTTACCAGCCCACCTGAGGAGACAGGAAAGAGTGGGTCCTCAAGTCCTACTGGAAAGACCCCTAAAGAGAATGCCTATTGAGCCACTTTCTCTGGAATGGGGCTCCCTTGGTCCAGAAGGCCTCTTGGCAGTCATGGAGGCTGAGTAGACTAAGACGATGAGGAAGGCCATAGTCTGGTAGGAGTTTCTGCCTGCTGCTGGATTGAGGAGGAAAGCAGAGTGGGCTCCCTGGGAGGCCCCCACATGGCAGGTGAGGTGCTACTGGGTGGGAAGGAGAAGGTGTCTTGTTACCAAGAGAAGGTGGGGGCCAAGGGCAAAGCCATCTGATTCCCATTGGGGGAGGGGCGAGCTCTGTACCTCTAAGGCTAAACTCTAGGGGGGAGCAGAACTGTTAAACCCCACTTAACCAGCTGATAACTGTGCTTTAAATGTCCACTGGGGCCTACCCCAATAAACCCCCCAAATGTAACTTCCAGCCCCCCGCATCAGCGGGGCCTAAACATGCTGATAACCAGATGTGATAAATCCATGACAGGACAAAAAGTTAAAGGGACTAAAACAGACATCGCTAAAACATACAGCCCCCAGCCACACTGGGCTGCTCTCTCCAGCGGGGTGAACTTTAACCCTTTGAGGCATTCATGGTGGGTGGGGGCAGGTGCATGGGCCACAGGGACCAAGTTTATTAAAGTTCTGTGGCTTCCTGTCCATTATCTGCCAAGCTCCCCCAGAATCAGAGAGGCCAAGGGACCTGGGCTGAGGCTGGGACCACTTGTGACCCCAAGGGTGGGGAGAGCCGGACAGGCCTTGATAGGGGGAGGGGGCAGAACTCGGAGGTGCCCGCACCTTCTTTTCAGGCCTGTATTTATTTACTCTTCTAGAAAATGACAGATTCAGCTTCCCAGAGAAGGGAAGGAGGAGCTCACCTTTGGTGTGGCCTCGGCCTGTCCGAGCCCAGCTCCCTTCTCAGTAGACAGGGATGGCTGTTGTAGCTCATTCCACCTCACAGACACATTGTGAGGAGAGAAGCGATGAACAGGAAGGTATTCAAGTTCTTGGAGGGATATCTTACTGTCAGCATCTGGCACACGGTAGGTGCTCAGTAGTTATGGAATGAATCCATTTTCCAATTCTAAAACATGTTTTGTGAAACAGTTCTATGAGCTGCTTCACAGTACAGAGATCTGTGGCAAAATGACTTTGGAAGTGCTGAAACCTGTTTCTTCCTCTTTGAGATGCACAAGTATCTTAGATTCCTAAAGGCTCTGACAAATCCTGCAAGAAAGGAACTTGTTGAGCTGTGACCTGTTTGCTTTCCAGATTCATGTGATCATAGTCACCCTTCTCTCCTTTGGATTCTCATAATTTTCATAGCTAGGAATAAACTTGGACATAGTGAGTCTCAGGGGGCCGTCTGGGCCTGGTATCTCAGGCCTGCCTTTGAGCTGCCACTACCAGTAATGCCCCTCTCTGGGCTCCGACTCCCACATTTGTAAGGGAGCATGTGGCACCAGGCGGGCAGTGGGAAGGTGCCACAGGAGGGGAGGAGCTAGCTGAGCAGACCGCCAGTGGCCCAAGCAGGTAGCTGGCGGGTCCAGAAGCTTGGTGTCCTGGAGGGCCCTCGTGTCCAAAGCGGGTGTGGGTTTCCCAAGTTGGACTGTCCTCAGCCCAGGTATGGGGGCAAGGCTTACAGTACCTAACTCTAAACCAGATCTTTAACGAGGCACTAACCAGAGTCTAACAAGGGCTAAGCCAGGTATTAAACTCCCAGCGCCAGCGGCTGAAGTTCCAGGGGAGAAGGGGGCAGTGTCATAGTCCATCTGCCCGACCCCTCCCCAGCAAAAAATAAGCAACACCAAAATCAAAGTTAAATCTAAACTTAAACATAATAAATATCTTTTCTAAAAAACCAAACCAAAACAACAAACTCAGAGGGTTAAACCGACCCCCAGATCTACTAAAACCAAAGTGAACAGCCAAACCCCACGCAGGTGGGAATTCTGAGGTGTAATGCTGCCGAGTGCGGAGTGAGATTGGAGCTGGAGCGGGATTTTTTGGCTGTCAGCAAGCGAAGCAAGGTCCCTTTAACATTTTCCATTTCTGTGCTTGCCCACCCAGGCGGGGAGGAAGGGCTCTGCTAGCCAGGGGCCTGGTCCTGGCAGTGGCTGGGCCTTGGCAGGGGAGGAGGAGCGTAGGACCCTGGCTGGCAGTCAGGGGCTGCCATGGGCAGGGCAGCCTGGAGCAGCCGGGCAGGGGCCATGCTGTGCCCCTCATCCTGCCTCCTCTGCTCACGCGCGCTGACCACGATGGCTTGGCAGTGCACACCCTCTGCCTCAGCCTCTTTGTCTCTGCTGTCTGCTGCCTCCAAGGGCCCCATGGCTTGGGGCTCACTGCGGGTGGGATGTCTGGGGGAGCAGAGGGAAAAGATGGGGATGAACCGAGGGAGAGGAGAGAGAGGGGTGATGGCCCTGGAGCAGGAGCAGTGTGGGACAGGAGAAGGCGGAGAAGGCATGAGCGTGGTGGGGAGAGGGCTGACCGGGCACCCTTTCCCAGCCCATGCGTGTGCCCTGGGACCCTCCCCTGCTGGGGTCCCACCCGGCTGGGCTAGGGGTTCTGGTTGACAAGTACTTTCCCTTTGGTTGTCCGCCCCTTCCTCATTTCTCCCCCATCCACCTGCTGGCTTCCTCCTCCGTTCCCGTCTCTTCCCCTTGGATCCTCTCCGTTCTCCCCTCCCTTCCTGGCCTCCTCCCACTGTCTGCTCCTCCTCTGCCTGCCTCCCTGCTCTCCTCATCACCTTCCCCCCAGGACGCCAGCTGACCATCTTCAACAGCCAAGCTGCCATCAAGATCGGAGGCCGGGATCAGGGCCGCCCCTTCCAGGGCCAGGTGTCGGGCCTTTACTACAATGGGCTCAAGGTGCTGGCGCTGGCCGCCGAGAGCGACCCCAATGTGCGGACTGAGGGCCACCTGCGCCTGGTGGGGGAGGGGCCGTCCGTGCTGCTCAGTGCAGAGACCACGGCCACCACCCTGCTGGCCGACATGGCCACCACCATCATGGAGACCACCACCACCATGGCCACCACCACCACACGCCGGGGCCGCTCCCCCACGCTGAGGGACAGCACCACTCAGGTGAGTCTCCTTCCAGCTTTGGGCAAAGGTTCAAGGGGTCTGGTGGGATCCTGAGGGTTGCAGTCCTTGTTCTGGTGATGGTTTAGGTAAGGGAGGCAAGGTCACTTTCCAGGAAGTGGTCTTCACTCTGGTGACCAGGGATACTGTACGTGTAGGAGTGGCTGTTATTTATACAGGGTGTGTTCCCAGAGTTGGGGAGAGTTGACTAGGGACTGGGTCTCTGTCCTGACCCCCTAAGACATGATGTCTAGATCAGTGTTGGGGGTGGAATGATCTCTTCTGATCCCCACTGACAGCCACAGCCAGTGCCTAGGGGGCAGCTCATGGGAGATGGGTGTGTCTGGACGGCAGTGCCTTGGACAGAGGTGACAGGCTGCAAGGACTGGACACAACCACCTGGCAGTGGACACCCTTCTCCAGGGAGCAGCCTCTCCTTGTTAGAGTCCCTGCCATGGGAAGGGCCCTGGTGGTAGGTTTCTTGCCCTCACAGGTCTTCTCCCTGTGATCCAGAGCATGTACCACGCTTAGTGGGCCTCGGTTTTTTCTCTTCATCTCTCGGTCTGAGTGGGATGTTGGTGCAGACAGTTCTGTGCTTTTCCCTCCAAGGTGCTCTCCCTACCTGCTCAAGTGCCCTTTTTAAAACTTTTTTTTGGTACCAGGGATCAAACTCAGGCCCTTGTGCTTGCAAGGCAGGCGGAGGAACCACTGAGCCACCCCCCACCACCACCCCGCCCTCAAGTGCCCTTTGGAGCAGATCAGGCCCAAGTGATCTGGGAGAGCCAGAGGAGGCTGCACTAGAGGAACAAGGCTCCAAGGGCCATAGTGGGCCAGGCTTTTGTGGTGGCCAAAGCCTATGGAGTGTGTGGGACTATGGACACTGGGCTGAATTTTCATTGTTGCCATCAATGCCTGCCGTGATTATTGGCCACAGAGACCTCATGCTGACATGTGAACTTTGCTTAGCCATTACCGGTCTTGCTGCCCTGGCTGTTGGGCTCTTAGGTCTGGAGGGACCTCTGTCCTCCAGGGTATGGGAGAGATCTGGAGGTGGCGATAAAGACCTATCCTTACATTTACTACATCTGCCTTCAGCTTCTGCCTCTAACTGGGGGGTGGGCTCCTGGTCTCCAAGGCCCCTCCTCCCCACCTATCTGTGCTGCAGGGAGCCTAGGATGGGGCTAGCCAGGTAAGCCAGCTGGGAGAGACAAGCCTGTGACCTTTCCTCTGCCTTCACTGCCTAGAAATCTGAAGGAATCTGAGTGCCTAGAGAACAGGGAGCCATGGGAGAAAGGCCTGGGCTCTACTCAGGGCTGGACACCACCGTGCCCAGTGCCCCTGGTCTCAGTGGGAGGTGGTGGGCAGACTGTCCTGGTGGAAGAGAGGGATAGGGGCCTGAGGGTGGGGCTGGTGTGGGGGTGCTATCAGAAGATGGGCCTGGGCTGGGGCAGTGTGGGACCCTTGTACCTCTCCCACACTGGGTCTCTGTCCAGCCCCCAGCTGGCCTCCTCCCACCACAGCGTCTTGGGGCTCTTTCCTGTCTGGACTTCGGATCATGCTCTGTGGGTCTCTGTCCTGACCCCCGTGAGCACCCCCTCCCCCCCATGCTCTCTCATCTCTGGGATTCTCTTTCTTTGCAATCAGGAGGAAAGAAAATGCTGACAAGTCGACTCCCGTTGTCATGGCAACCACAGCCCTAATTATTGTGTGCAGCCCAGTTCTCTCCTGGAAGGGGGTTGGAAGAAGAGTGAGGGGTGTTGGGGTGGTGAAGCTGAAAGCCCCTCCAGCTTTTGTCCCCCTCTGCCAAGCAGGCCTCCTCCAGAGGGTCCCTGTGGCTTTTTTCCCTGACTCATCTGTCCCTGCACCAAGGCATCCCGGTTCCTTTCTGCCATCCTGCAGCTCCAGGTGGAGCCTCCCATCTCTTCATTTCCTGGAAATAAAAAGCACATTTGTTGTCTGATCCTTGGGAGCTGGTGCTGTTTAGTTTCCCTTTGCTTGGGAGGAAGGAGGGCCAAGGTCACCCAGCAAGCGATAAGAGAGCTGACCTTGGCTCCAGCTGTCCCCTGTGCCATCCAGAGGTGTCTGTGGTTTCTGCTCATCCACTTGGAACCCTCTCTTCCCCACCCTTTCTCTCCCCGCAGAACACAGATGACCTCCTGGTGGCCTCGGCTGAGTGTCCGAGTGATGATGAGGACCTGGAGGAGTGTGAGCCCAGTACTGGTGAGTGTCTTTCCCCCCTCCCCTGCCCCGGGGCCCCTGCGACGCTGCTGGGAGGGGGGGCGACTGTCTCTGTCACTTGGCCCTAGCCCAGGGCCTGCTACAGGCCATAGCTCTCTGATAGTCTCCCTCTCCTCCTAGTAGCCCCCCAGGCTCCTCTAATGCCCTCTGGCAAGGTGCCTTTTGGTGCCCCATCCCTCAGAGATAGTGAGGTCCTTAGTGTTCCTTTGCTTGGGGTTGAGAGCCAAGGGTTGCTGGGAGGGAAAGAGGGAGATATTTCCCTAGAAAGATGAGTAACTGCAGCTCCCATGAGTCCCGGGGTGAGGGTGGGGGGAACTACAACTCCCATCAGCCCTTAGCCCAGAACCGCAACTCTTATCTGCCCCAGGCCTGGTTCTCTGTTGGTCACTTGGCAGAGGATGTCTCTGCTGGATTCTGATCCCTCCTCATGCTCAGTCTCAGAGTTGTATCTGGTGCTTGGATCTGAAGAGTCCCCAGGGAGGAGACTCTACCAGGATGGCAGGTCAAAGCAGGCAACTCTGTGCCTGGCAGTGTGATAGGTGGGAGGTGCCTCCTAGGCCAGACATGGGGTACCCTGGGGAGATCCCAGCAGTGGAGCTGTTGTGGGACGGCAGGGCTGGGAGAGAGGATGCCTGGACATGGGAGTTGGGGGATCTCTAGGCCTTTGCTTGATGTTGCCAGCTGGGTTCAAGGGTGCAGCTGCAGAGAGAGCAGCCAGGTGAGTCAGGGGTTTGTTTTGCCAACAGGCTTAGAGGGTGCAAGTGAGGTAGCACAGCAAGTGCTTGGGCCACTTATCTAAGCAGGTTGGCAGTAACTTAGAGGAGCTGGGGGAGACTGGCTAGGGGAATAGAAAGAGGACTGGATGAGGCTGGATTTCCCAGTGCAGTGCACCCGTATGAGCCTGCGAGAGCCCAGGGGCCACCTGCATCTCTTGCTTGGCTTCCCAGAGACTTCTCCCCATTTACTGTGCAATGGTGGCACCTAGGCTGTGGGTATCAGTAGGCTGGAGGATGGGGCAAGTGTGTGCAGGGTTGGGGAAGGGCTGTGGTCAGGAGATGGGCAGTGTGGCATGATGATAGATCCTGTGAATCTGGCATGGGGAGGCGGATAGGGAGCTAAGGCACTGGAAAGATGTTCAAGCTGAAGGAAGGCAGTCACCCTTCCTTGGATGGAGTGTGTGCAGAACAAGAAGGGAACAGGCCTAAAGTGTGTACAGTGGAGCAGAGGCTCAGATTCAGAGATAACAGGCTAAAGCCCATTACCCTCCATGTCCCCTTCAGTAGGCTAGAGCTGAGAAAGGTCCTTTCCATGGCTCAGGGGCACGTGAGGAAGTGCCAGCTGCTGGACTGGAAAGGTCTTCCTGTCCACAGCCCAGGGGACAAACACCCCTCACTGTGGGGGGCTCCTCTGCTGGGGGCTGTCCCTGGTTTTTCTGGGTGATCTCAGCTCAGGGATGCCTACCCCAAAACCACCATTGCTTTGGGAGGTTCTGAGCCTGTGGCAGTGTCAGCACCCAGCACTGTCCCTCAGCCCTGCTTTGCCTCTGTCAGCTCTGGGAACTTACTGGGGGCCCTGTAGGCAGACACAGTGCCTCTGCCTAGCTGGTGGCTGTGTGAATGAGCCATGAGAGCACTGGGATGGGAGGCTCTGGGGACAAGGGACTGTGAAGGCCATGAGGAAGAGGCACTGTTTGGCCTTATACTCTGGGATGGGAACTCAGTGACAGGAAAAGTCTGGACCCTGTAGAGGTCATCCGGGCTAGATGATCCTCACACAGGGACAGGCAGCAAATTCTGGGCCACCCCGTGTTGGGCAGAGCTCTAGCTCCCAGCCCAGAGCCCAGCCAGGGTCCTCCGCATGACCCCCAGTGTGTGTACTGGTGGCCTGAGCTCTTTCAGGCTTTACTAGGACAGGGGGGTGAGGAAGAGCTGACTTAGGCTGGCCAGCTGCCCCCCAGTGAGGGCTCTAGGAGCTCACTGACCATTGGAGCACACTGGGAAAAGAGCCATGGTTGTAGGGCAGGGATTTGGCTCAGTGGTGCCGCTGCCTGCCTTGCAAGCACAAGGACCGGAGTTCGATCCCTGGTACCAAAAACAACAACAACAACAACAAAACAGCCGTGGCTGTGGAGGGAAGCTAGTGAGTGGGGTAGGACTGATAGCTGGGCATGGGGAGGGGCTGGTGGCCAGTGCAGCACCCAGCTTTAAAAATAAAGCTGGGAGGGCTGGGGGCTTGGCTCAGTGGTTCCACAGCCTGCCTTGCAAGCACAAGGGCCGGAGTTTGATCCCCGGTACAAAAAACAAACAAACAAACAAACAAACAAACAAACAAACAAAAAGCTGGAATAGGAGAAAGGCTGAGTGTGCAATGGAGCCTTCAGAGGAAGTTGCGGGAATCCGTAAGTTCTCCCCTAGACCTGGGGCTCATGTGTTTACAGTTCACACAGCTCGCTGAAATCTTTCAAGTCAGTATTCATCATTCTGCTGAGAGGCCAGGCAAGGACTGAGATGACTCCGGGTGCCCCAGTCTGGAGTAGACCATTACCACCTCCACCCTCCCCTCCCACCACCAGCCTTTCCACCCAGAGCCTCTCCAAGGAGAGAGGAGACTTTTCTCTAGCAGAGGGCCAGAACCTTGCCTTCAAGGTCAGTGTGGAGGTGGAGGCAGCTTGGCTGGAGACAGTGACTGACCAGGGAGGAGCCCAGGGTGTTTGTGCCCCTCCCACCTTCCATTCCTCATCCCTGGGTGCAGGTGTGGGCCCCTGGCTCAGTCCTGCTCCTCCTGCACCCTTTTGTACCCTTGCCCTGAACCCGGCCCCTCCACATACCCAGACCACATGTACCTCCTCCTTTGCTTGGTGAGACCCCCCCCACCGTCTGACATGTTTTTTTGCCTGATGTTGGCAGCCCAGACAAAGAGGATAATGTTAAGTCTTTGGGAGTGCCTTTAGAGGAACAAGCACTACAGTTGGCATTGTGACCGCCACCTCTTGTCTCAGCCAGCCTGGCCTCCACATTGTGTTTGGGATTTGTAGCAATCTGACTTTGCACCCCCTGAGACATACAGGAAGAGAACCCACAGGCCCAGACCCATAAGGCCCCCCACCAAACAACACCCCCCCCGCACACATTTGCAGACCCAACAGCAAGTTCACAAGTTCCCCATTCTTACGTTCAAAACTAGAAGAATATACACCACCCGTGCCCAGATCAACAGAGGTACATGCGTGCTCAGACCCAAAGAGACAACACACGCCAGACCCCTGAAGCCCACGCATACAGATACCTGTTGAGACCACAGATGCACACACCCATTCACATATACACAGTCTTGTGAAGTCTGCCTGTTTACTTAGAGTCACTGAGTGCTACAAACGTGTGTAGAGCCCCCAAATACTCAGAAGTGCAGACTTACAAGGACCACCTGCTCAGATCCAAAGGGTCAAACTTAAACATGTGCTCAGCTGCACAAAGACGCGCACACACACAGACAACATGTTTTTTAAACCCAGCAAGGTCCTTACATATGTTCAGAGTGTGGAAGCAACTCAGACATACTTGGAATGTTCAGAGCCATGCACACATGCTCAGGGCTGTAGAACTCACATATTCAGACATGTGAGATGTGTATTTTGGATCGTAGTATGTGCTTACATGCTTATGCCTTGAGACAAGTCCCTGGCCTCCCAGAATTATGGTCTTTCTCAGTTTACAGAGGCACACACATGTAAACAGATTCACCTGTGTAACACACACTTGTGAGGTGTGATAAAAGATATATTGCTATGAATCTCCCTCAAAATACTCCTCCCTTGTTTTGATTCTGTGATTCTTGCCATTTTCTGAAGCAGTTCTAGAAGTCCTCTTTTGTGTGTCTTTGGTTGCACTATCGTGATTTGAATTGATGTCCAGAATCAATTCAAAACATTTACCGTTAACAGCCATTTGACTTTGGGGAAGATCCAGTCATCTCATGGTGCCAGATCTGGTAAATGCAGTACATGAGGACACACTGTAATATTTTTAGGTCCTGCCTTTCTGTTGTATGGCATCTGGCAGCAGCATTCACCATATTTTTTATTGCATCTTGTAAAGCCATGAAGGAGAATTTCCAGAATGGCTTCAAAAAAGTGTCAAGAATGATGAGATAAGTGTGTCCAAAGCAAGAGGGAGGAGTCGGAGAGGAGTGAATGGCAAAGTGTCTTTTATTGTAATAAATTTTAAAAGTGTGAACATTAACTGTATTTTTTTTTGTGGGTACTGGGGATCGAACTCGGGTCCTTGCACTTGCGAGGCAGGTGGCGGCACCACTGAGCTAAATACCTGGCCCCATTAACTGTATATTTCAACCACCCCTTGAATTTGTGCACCATATGATCCCACACATGCATTCACTTTACAGCTGCTTAGAACCTCAGAGACCCTATATGCATCTTCAGGCCAGGCATGTACGCAAAGCACTCAGATCACTAAAGTACACACACTTGTGCACAGAAGTGCACATCCATGCCTTGGTGTGCACAGAGATACATGTGTGCTACAGCTCTGGGCAAGTGTACTGCTTACCGAGGTGTGCATGTACATCTGCGGAGGGATGAGCTCATGCGCCAAATGTGTGTTCATCTTCATTCACGTGTACCTACCTGCACACAGAGGTGCACACGTGTACTGACATCAACAAGGACATATGCTTGCTCTTTCTCAGAGGAGGCCATGTGTGCCCAGCTCCAGGGGCATGCACGTGCACGCACACACATGTGCACGCATGCGTGCGCAGATGCATTTGTTCAGTCTCACAGAACTGCATCTCTCTAGCACTCCCAGGAGAGGCCCTCAGTGGTTTTCCCTAGATCACACCTGTAGAAGCGGCTACTTACATGTGTCTCATAGACTCAGCACACTCAGGCCTTTGAGGCCTACATGCATGTACCCAATCCCATGTTGGTGTCGCGTATTTATACGGTTAACCGCAGAAGTATACTT